TTCCAAACCTCCTCCTTCAATCTCTTCCCAAACCACAGTCTCTCTCATGGACAATAACCCAAGATTAAAAAATCCTCACTGTCGAATCAAATTCCGAAACCACCATCTCTAGAATGCCTTTTCTACCTCTACCTCCAACGCGACGCCGCTAGGGCCAAAGCCTTATCCGTGCCGCCTTCTATGGCAACACCATCGCTGACCGAGTACTTCACCCGATTGGGCATCGGCACTCCGCCCAAGTACTTCTACATGGTGCTAGCCACTGGAAGCAAAGTCGTTTGGATCTAGTGCTCCCCATGCCAGAAATGCTACCACTACAAGAAAAAGCATCTTTGGCAATTAAAAAAGCACATTTGGTCGCTGAAAGTATAGGTTTTGGCGACTAAAAAAGCATTAGTAGCCAAAAGTAAAGATTTTTGGTTACTAAAAAAATTTAGTAGCAAAAAGTATAAGTTTTGGCGACTAATAATCTGTTTGGTCACCGATATATGGCTTTTACCGACCAAAAAAATTTTAGTAGCCAAAAGTAAGGCTTTTTGGCGACTAAAAAAATTTAGTAGCCAAAAGTGAGGCATTGGGCGATTAAAAAGATGTTTTGTCGCCAAAAGTGAGACTTTTACAGACTAAAAAGATTTTAGTAGCTAAAAGTGAGCCTTTTTGGTTAAAAATAATTTAGTAGCCAAAGTGAGGCATTGTGCGACTAAAAAGATGTTTAGTAGCCAAAAGTGAGGCTTTTTGGCGACTAAAAATAAGTTTAGTCGCCAAAAGTGGTAGTTTTAGCGCGGGAATTAAATTTTTTAACGACTAAAAAATAATTAGTAGCCAAAAGTATAGAATTGGTAACTAAAATTATGTTTAGTCGCCAAAAATGGTCTCTTTTTTTTTTCTAGTAAATAATTTATTTTTACATAAATTATGTTCAATAAAAAATAATTATCTCTATATATATATATACTTTTATATTAATATGGGTGTACTATATAAATAATATATGTTGCATATATAATTATATGGTGTTATAGAGGCGTAGTGGAAAGATTGTATTGTATTAGGTTTATGGTGCGGGAGGTTGATGGTTCGAATCTCCACAAGAGCATATGAGAAGATAGTGAGTGTAATTTTTTTTTTCACGAATGAGCTTTTGGCGACTAAAAGGTTTGGTCGCTGATTCCTTGAGTATTGCCGACTAAAACATTGTTCGGTAAATGTATAATTTAAAAAATATAATTGACTATTGGCGACCAAAGTTTTGGTTGCTAAAGACTTGCTTTTTGGCGACAAAAAGTTTTTTAGTCGCCAATACCTTTCCCGACCGTCTTCCGACGACCAAACTGGTGACTAAAAATTTAGTTGGGGAAACTAAAAAACCGACTTTTGGCGACTAAAAATTTAGTCGCTAAATGTGTTTTTTCTTGCAGTGTACACTCAGACCGACTTGGTCTTCGATCCCACCAAGTCGACTCGCCGAGCTGCACCAACTATCAGATATGTCTCTACTAGGTATCGTATGGCGATGGTTTGTTGCTCTCAAATGTGGTCACGATAGCAAAGGCTTGTTCGTTGACGCCGTCAGATTGATGGGTTTGGGCTAGGGGAAATGAGACTGAAAGACAAAAGAGAGAGTGTTTAGTGAGGCTGAGTATTTAGAGAGAGTGTACTTAGTGAGGTTGAAAATTGAGAAGCGAGGCTAAGAGACAAAGAGAGATAGGAGACTTTAGAGAAAGTGAGAGGAGTGTGTGCCTCTCTTTTTTGGGGGAGAGAGAGTGCATGGGTGCAAAGTTTTAGGTTTAAGTAGAGAGTAAGAGAAAGTCTTATCTTTACCGTCCATCACCAAGCATAAATGAATCCTAACCGTCTAAGGGGGAGAGAGAGTGCATGGGTGCAAAGTTTTAGGTTTAAGTAGAGAGTAAGAGAAAGTCTTATCTTTACCGTCCATCTTCAAGCATAAATGAATCCTAACCGTCTAATGATCCTAGTAAGACAAATGTGTCTAAGATAAATTCAAAAATTGTTCTACCTTATTATATAGATATATATACTGATGCAAAAATGGTACAAGAGGTACCATTTATAGGTTAGAAGGAAAGATAATAAATGACTTGGCCAGTTGAAGGCATAGTAGCCACATGTTGGGTTCATCAAAAATAAATGGCAAGGTTGATTTCAGGAACAATTATTCATTTTTTTAAAGATAACTATGATTCAAATATATAATTATTGATATTTAATTAATTTAATTTTTTACTTGAATGATCGACTCATGAGACACTAAAAGTTGAACGGTTTAAATTATCAACACGGACTCAGATGGGCCTACTAAAATTGAACGGTTTAAATTATCGATACGGATTCAGATTCAGATAGACCCACAACCTTAAATTGTACCCTCTAGTCCAATTAATGTATGGAGGAAAGCCTTGTCTGGAAATAAAAGTGTAGGGTAGGAAAGAAAAAACAACAAAATTGACTTTGTTGGGTGGTATTTGATAAAATTGAAAATTGAAAACTGAACTCTAAAAATTAAATATTAAAAGTTAAATACTAAATTTTTTAAACTAAAAAATTGTTTGATAAAAATTTAAGTGGTGAATTAAAAATAAATTATTTTATATGTATAAAATCAAATTTAAAATTTATTATTTTTAAATTGTATGTTTCGACTTTTATATTGTGATAGCGGTGGTAGTGGTGGTGTGATGGTGATAACGGTGGCATGGTGGCGGCGGCGGCAGTGATGGTAATAAAATAATAGTGGTACTTATAGCAATGATAACAATGGTATTGAAGGTGGTAGTGGTGGTAGTAGTAGCGGTGGCATGGTGGTGGTAGTTGCGATAGCGATGGTGATGGTAGTGATAGTTGCGATAACGATGGTGATAGTAGTGGTGGTACTAATTATGGTAGTGGTAGTGGTGGTAGTGCTAGTGAGTTTATAATAGTATATATCGATATTTATGTTTAATATGACTTAAAATTTTAAGAGACTTACTTGCAGGTCTTAATAACTGAATTTATTATCCAATAGGTTCTATGATAATTAATGACATTTTTCATTAAAAAAAAGTCACTAATTGTTAATTTTCAGCGACAATTTAAAAATTGTCACTAATTATAGGTTTTAGCGACAGTTTAAAAAAATCATCATAAAAAAAGTCACTAATTTATAACTTTTAGCGACAGTTTAAAAAATTTGTCATAGAAAAACGTCACTTATTGTAAGTTTTAACGACAATTTATAAAAATCGTGACAAAAAGTCACCAATTGTCAATTTTTAGTGACATATAATTTATTTTCAATAAGACTTTATAGGAATTAAGTCCAACTGTTAGGACCTATTAATAGTTTATCCTAAAATAGTCATAAATTTTAGCCTATATTTTAAAAAGCACTTAAATTTTAAGTGATATCAATTGTAATTATCAAACGAATTTAATTGATTATTACTTAATACATTTAATTTTAAATACCAAATTAGGTAATCAAACACCCTTGCTCTACCACTTGTGTAAGGTTAGGAGGGGAGAATGGATAGAAACCAAAACCATTTAAAGTCACTTTTTTGAATATTTAAAAGTTTAAAATGAAAAAAACGAAAAAACAAATGGGGAGAAAATAAATGAGAGCAGGTACCTATTTTGTCCCTCATTTTTAAGAAACATGGTTTTGATTTTATCACCTTGGTTTTATTGTCCCAGTTGACTAGAGTTTATAACTCTCATATCTTAAGAATAAACTAGTAGTTAAATATTTCATTACTCATAGTCAAAGAAGTTGCGCACTTGATAATTAGTTGATATATGTGAGATGAAAAGCTACATATATCTGAGAATTAGTAGCCTAAGCAAAATTTCCAGACACCATTGTGATAAAAATCTTATCTCTTATTTGTCTTTCCCAAACAAGAAGGGAACAAAATTCATTCTTTTATCTTATTTTTTCACCTAAATTATCCAAACAAAAATGAAAAATACCACCCTCTTTTTTCTTTTCTTTTCTTTTCTTTCCATTATAATTCTGTGTGTCCCAGATTGCCAAATGGATTGGAAGTTTGGTTTGCTTGCAGAAAACCAGTCTAGTGAAAACCTAGCAATTCTTCCAAGAATCTTCTGTTTTGTGTGTGTGTGTGTGTGTGTGACAGACATAATAGAGTTGTCCATTTGGCTGGAAATACTGTGTCTGTGCATGTTCATTGTGGGGAAAATGAATGTTTGTTATTTTGTAGAAATTCATGCAAGCTGCCAAACCAAAGAGGTCCCCTAAGCTCTCAACTCTCAACAAAATTGTCAAAACTATTCCATGTGCCTTTTCTTTTCATTACACTGGATAATAGAAAATCTTCGTCTGTCTTTACAGGGTAACTTGATAAGATTTCTAATTTCACAAATTTAAACTTCCAGTTTCTGTGGTCCAACCTCCATGTGGACAGAAAATTGAGAAGTGAATTTAAATGTCGTCATCGGGTTAGGCCAACCCAGCCTTCGAAATTGATGCCCAAGCTCGCTGATTGATTAAGCCTGGCAAGTTCTTTTTTTGGCAAGAAGACCAAGGGCCAAAAACCTTAAGCTAAGTCTTGTCTAATGCACTTGGCCCAGATAGGCTAGCTGGTTGAACCACACCCTCAAGCTAAGCCCAACAAATCGAGATTCAGATTTACTTGTAGACATTTTTTTTGTTTTTGTACTTTTTCCTATTTTTATCCCCTCTTTTCCATGAGGCTAACCAGTCGAGCCAACAAACTACCTCTCACAGACCTAAGCCAGGCTATCGGGCCAGGCCGGGCTTCAACACTAGGTTCAACCTAAGCCTTGTTCATTCTATAGCCTAGTTTGTCCATAGTAAAACCTGAACGGGCAGGTCATTAGCCGATGGGCCAAATGACAGCTCTCAAGTGAAACCATCTTCCTTTCCTTTTTGTTTGGAAATAGTTGAGTTTCAAACCGCCAAATGTCACACCTACAATTTTTGTTTCAAAAGAGACACATAACAAGTTTTCTGGCACTTCAAAAGGAATCCCAACCAACTGGGACAAATGCTTGTCGTATTGAGCTTAGTCGAAACGTGAAACAATTTTCTAACATGATGTTACTCAAATATTACATTAAAATCCACAACGAAACATTATTTAACAATGGACTTTTAACAATCAAACGAAAGAATAACGAATAATTTAAGAACTGGGAATGCTCCACATTTACAGGGAGAAATTTCACTATGCTTTGTATGATGTATCATCTGACCTGTATGCCTTTTCAATTATATCTATAACCTTCTCTGCTTCCCTATATCGCAGGCACGCTGGCTCTTTCTCCACCATCAAAACTGAAACTTTGCATTGAGATTTCACATTAAATCTTTGTTTCTCTGCTCGGCCCTGTTGGCTGCCATCGTTGTTCCTTTGAAAAAACCCATAAGAGGCCGCATTTGAAGCAATGGGTTCGTGTACTTTACAGGGGAAGGCACAAATTTCTAACTAAAAACTACAAACCACTATCTTTGTGAAGCAGCCCTTCGGTTTAGTTTTCGCTCAAGTATTTCCTCCTGAGATCGATTGCAAACACAGCCCGGAAAAGGGTTTGCGTAAAAATTCTCCTCTAGCCTCGGTGACTCTCCTGGAAGTCTAAGATACGGCGCTCCAAGCCTATCAGAGTGCAACCTCTTAACCTCTGATGAGAACTTTTCCCAGGATATCGCCCTCTCATCGTACTGATCAATCAGACTAACAAAACTTTGTCTGAAATGAAAAGAAAAAAAAAATGTCACACATTAATGATGAAGAAAGGTTTGACATAAAAGAAGCCCAAGACAAAGCACCTGTCGGGGTTTATAGTCTTTCGAAACCCTTCAAACCTCCTGTGCCCTTGCACCGCCTTTGCCATGTTCCCATCGTATGTGAAAACAAAAACATCGCTTTCTAGCGCTACAATATAGTCCAAAGCTGCAAGGCGATTCTGATACTGCTTGAAGGGTTCAAGCTCTTCTTCAGTTGCGAGGGTGGAATGAGAGAAAACGTTTGGGAACTCAGCACGAAACGCTGCCATGCTGTTGCTGCCATAAATTTCCCCAGCAACTATGTAGATTGTCGTCGTTGAAGGGTACCCCATGGCCTTGAGGAATAGGGCTGCCTCTCTTGGAGACATCGGGCACCCCCCTTGGAATCTTTTTTCTTTGCTGTCTATTTCTTTCTCTTTCCAATGTTTGACATTGTACCTCATAACACGAAGTTCCTCATCCTCCTCTGCAGTCAGATTGTGACTGCAGCCGGTGAATGCAAGCATATCTTTCTCATATCTGCCATAAAAGATCGATCTAATGAGTTTTTCCACAATAAAACAAAACTAGGCATTTTGTTTTAATCAAGTGGGGTTGGCTACTAAATCATTTTTCGCCATTTTGTTAACCATACATTGAGTTATTCCATAACTAGCAATAATGACCAATAGATACCTTAAATGGAGGGCAACATATGGCTCGCTATCGTTCCTAAGTCTGTCGACTAGTTTTTGCCCGAGATCCTCAATCTCTGTTGTGTATCGAAGAGCCTCATAGTTGGCACGACATCTGAGCCTTTGTATAGAGGTCGCAAGGCCATTATTGGCAAGTCGCGAATCAGAATGGGTAAACTTGATCACTTTGTGTTGTTTCAACAAATGAACCATCTCTCCTCTGTAGTAACTAGCCTGCAAATGAAGCATGCTTAAGACACAGTTTCATTTAATGAAAGGAACAATATTTCAGGAGCGCGCCCATAATTTTCCAGACCTTCGACCACGAGATGGGGGCCTTCAGGAGGGGTTGGATTGCCGTGTGGCTTGGTGGCAAAGATTCAATAATCTCAATATCGTCTTTTAGAACCTCAATGAAGTGCCTCCAATCAAAAATATCCTTGAAATCACTACGTAGAAGTGCCAAAAATTATCAAAACATCTCACCAAAGAATTTTAAAATTAATATATATATATATATAACATTAGTTAGTACCTTGGATCGGTCCAGAAGGACTCATGGTCAAGAGAAGGAAGAACCAATGTGGCATTCATAATCTTTGCTACGGCAATCATATCACATATCTGAAAATGAATCAAGATAGACATTTAATTTAAAGAAAAACGAAAATTTCAAAGTCCTAGAAATAACAGTTAAGCATAATTGGGTTAACTCACCCCTGTTCTCATTTGATTCAACCCACCATTGGCATGAACTAAAATGTAACCATTAGTTGCAGAACCTGTCCCTGAAAGAAGTTTTAAGTGCATATATATTTTAAAAATGATCGATTAACTGAGATTTTCTTAGAAAACAAGGAATGGAAAAGTGGAACATACTTATTCGATTCCTTGGCCGATCAACACATTGGTAATAGCTATCGCTGTTTGGTTTCATCCAAATTTCTGGTGTCTGTAAACCAAAAAGACAAAAGAGAAGTCGTAAGCTGACCAAAAAGATATAACATAACAGATTAACAGACATTTTGCGGTGTTAAAGGACGGGAGGAAAAGTAAACTATATTGATTCTTGACCGTTTGGTATATCATTAGCAGCCAATGAGTAATGTATTTGAAAACTATAAAGAAATGACAATGGCGGCGTTTGGAACCATTGAGACAGGCTATTTTAGCCTCAAATGGCAAAAAAAAAAAAAAAAAAAAAAAAAAAAAAAAGATTGAAAAGTGAATTGGAATCCAAAAAAAAAAGGCCATTTAGCCCCACCTAACCCATTGATTAAAAAAAAAGAAATGAAAAGCAGCGGCTGCTTCAGACAGTTAAATGACCATTTTACCCCTATAGATCAATTTTGAAAAAAATAAGATTAGGGATAAATTTGTCATTTTAATCTTAAACATCATTTCAAACACTTTTTTTAATACAACAATCAACCCAAAAATTTAATCCAACTCCCCAAATACAAAAACTAAAATAACTTATTAAAATAATTAAAAAATCAAAAAACTTAAAAAAAAATCACATCCGAACAACCCACAATGTCGTGCTTGGTTTGTGCTGAGAAAAGGAATATTCTCAACAGCATTGGCAAGTCGGTTTGTGGCTAAAATAGTCACAAAAGACAAAATAGATTATTTTAGTCACAACAAATAAAATATCACATTCACTTATAATCATTACACTTTTCTCTCACAAAAAAAATCAAAAAATTAAAAAACTCTTTCCAAACCAAACTTTTTAATTTATACTAAAATACTTACAAAAACTAAAAAATTAAAAAATCAACCCAATTCCCACGCGAAGGCTTAAACGGCAAAGAAACCAATCAATTGGGTGAATGAGAAAAAAAAAAGCAACTAAAGAAAAAGCATTTTTATTTTTAATCCACCATAATGGTGACACAAAAAGTCAAAGTAGAGGGTAGGCGTCTCACAAAATATAAAACCAAAAGGAATAAAGGGCAATAACATCCAGCTAATAATTGGAATGCTCACCCCCATAATGATTTTGTTTGACAAAGACAAAAATTCAGCTAAAAAATTCATTCTACACATAATTCAATTATATTAAAATATCAAAAATAAAATTTTGATCATAGAATTAAAATGAAAATTTTGAGTTAAAAAAGATAAATGCTAACAAGTGTTTTGAATATTTGTTTATTATTGAAAGTTAGGTAAAAATGTTTTAAAAATAGTGAAAACGTTTTTGAAATCAATGAAAAGTAGTTTAAAATTTGTGGAAGTGTCCTTCACTTTTTCTTTCCTTTTTTTTCTTACTAGGGGCTGGAAAGGGAAAAGAAATGTCAATTCTCTGAAAATTTGCAGAACAGGGAAAAGAGTACCCACGAAATCCCTGATCCCTTGTTTGGTTGCTGAGAAAAAAGGAAGAACGTGACAGAAATTGAATTTTCATTTTCATGCCACTATAAAATTTCAACAAAATTAAATTTAAACCTCACACACTGGCTTGTTTTTGGGTTTAAAAATTCGAAAGGGATTAAAAAAATTCCCCTAAAATTCCTCCGTTTTCTCAGAAACCAAAAGCGAAAAAATCAATGGAACTTACAGGAAACTTCTCCAATAATCGCTTAGGCATGATAGCACCAGACGATTCCTCAACCCTCTGAGCCAAAACCCAATCATCCTTGAAACTCTGAAGAATTAACAACCCATTCTCTCTTTTCTTCCCATTCACAACCTCCACATTACCACTACCCATCATCAACGAAACCTTAACGAACACCGACACCATCACCATCATCATCAAAACCCCGAAGATCGCACGGCCCACATTCCTCCCAGATACCAAATACTGTAAAATAGCACAAGCCCTCAACACCGAATCCTCCATCCTCACGTACGGACTCTTCTTCTTCAAGTACCTAATCGCCTGGTAGTGGTGGTGATTGTGATTGTGATTGTGGTTGGTGTCTGAATCGTCGTCACAATCGTCGAGTCCGTTTGAGGGGAAAGCAGTTTCAAGGCCTTTCTCGGCGTCCATTAAATCGGGGATGCGGCGGCGGTGGGTGGTGGGACCGAGAAGTCTTGGACTGCCGCTGCAGGAGGAGGAGGAGGTGGTGGTGGTGGCGCCACCGCTTGACATCGGCTGTTGGTCAACGAGAAAGTGAAAAACAAAAACTGAGAATAACCAAGAAAAAATGATGAGAGAGAGACAGAGAGAGAGAGAGAGAGGGAATTGAGGGGAGGTTATTGATTGAGAACCGCCGGTTTGGCTGGTGGTGGTGGTGGTGAGTGGTGGGTATGGTGTTGTGGGTGTTTTTTTTTGGGTTTTTTTTTGTTTTGTTTTGTTTTTGTTTTTTGTTTTTTTGTTTTTTTTGGGTGTGTTTTTCTCTCTCTATGTCTGAATTTTTTCATTCATGAATGAACGAGGAAGAAGGGTCCGAAAGAGAAGGCGAGCACAGAGGGTAATCTGCCGTTCTGTGAGAACTCCTCTGTTCTCTCTCTCTCTTCGCGTTTATGTTTATATATAGTACGGTATATACATATATCTCCCTCTCTCCATATGATATAGGCAGACAGAGATGTGTATACATGTATAAGAGTACAGGTTTAAATTTAATAATGTGATAAACAATTAAAATATTTAAAATAATATATTTTTATATATTTTTAATTATTAATTACTCATATAATTCACATATTATTAGATTTAAATAATAATCTAAAACGAAGAGTTATATATAATTTTCTTTTTAATGTGTTTGGCAAGTGGGTTTGCAGGTTTTTTTGGCTATTTTAGCCACAAAAAATAAAATAGGCTATTTTAATCATAACAAACAAAACATCACATCCAACCCATAATCATTACATTCTTCTCTCACAAAAAAAATTAAAAAAGTCAAAAAAACCCTTCCTAAACCAAGCTTTTAAGCCCAAACTAAAATAATCAAAAAAATCAAAAAACTAAAAGCCAACCCACTTTCCAAACCAAGCCTTTATAACATACAGACATGCAGAGAAAGAGAGAGAGAGAGAGTGAGTTGTGTAGTCCTAATAGATGGTGGGCCTGAGGTATGGGCAAGAAAAATCGGACAATTATTTAATAATTTTAAATTATAAATATGTCATATTTTATAATATTGTAATTAGTAAAGAAAGTAGTTATATGAGATATTAGGTTGAGTGATTGAGCAACATAAAAGAATATATTAAATGATGATTAGTTAAGAAATACAGACACATAATACTCCAAAAACATTGAATAATTTTTTGAAAAATGACATTCGAATACAACTTGAAAAATGATAGCATGTGATTAATCTATTTTACTTCCATTTACGGAAAATTATTATTTTAAAATATTAATTTTTTTTCAAAAATTAAAAATTAAAATAACATAAATTTCTTATTTTATCCTTCTTTTAAATTTATTAACATTAATATTTTTTAAGTATAATAATTGTATTACCAAATGATAGTTTTGAAAAATTATTTGGTAAGCATCTCAAATTATAGTTCTATCTATTGATTTGAGTGTGGTGTTTGTTTTGAGCTTTCAAATCATAATTCTACACTCATTTCTCAAAATTCAATTCAAAACATAATCATTACTTTTCAAAACTCATCACCAAACACATAATTCAAAACTCTTTTTCAAAACTCAATTTAAATCAATATTTTAATTTTTTAAATATTTTAAATATTTAAATATGTTACGATTTTTTTAATTTTTTAATTTTTTAAATTTTAAAATATTTTATAAAAATAAATTCAAACTCTATTTTATAAAAATATTTTTAAATATTTTAATTTTTTTTGTTATGTATTTGGTTACAATTTGAGTATAGAGTTGTGAAAGTATTATGGAGTTTCGAGTTATATGTTTGGTTATAAGTTTTAAAAATAATTTCTTAATTGAGTTTTGTTTTATGTGTTTAGTTACGATTTGAGTATAGAGTTATTTTAAAATTTAAAATATTAACATTTTACATTATTTAAATTTTTACGATTTAAATTTTTTGAATATTTATTTTCTATTTTTGCCCTTCATTCAAAATTGCTCAAAGAAATTTTAAATTGCTTATTTTCTCTCAGAAAAATTTCAAAATTGCTTAGAGAAATTTTAGAATTGTTTATTTTCTCTCACATAAATTTCAAAATTGCTTATTTTCCTTTAGATAAATTTTAAAATTGCTTATTTTCTCTTAGAGAAATTTCAAAAATTTTACTAACTGAAGATAGCTAACTCAATGAAATTTTGTCAAATTTTTTTCTCCTAAAATTTCATATTCATCATGAATCTTATTTGATAGATCTCGAAGAGAACAATCTAAAAATAAAAATTTTATTGAAAATGGATATCTAAATCAAAAGTTCCTGAATTTTTAAATTTTTAAATTTTTTAAAAAGTGAAAGACGTTGAGCAGTATTGCTTATGAGCAACTTTAAAATAAAAAACCCATAATACTTATGTCACATATTTTTATAAAGAATGTAGTAGTGAAAATGGGTGCCCGTTACAAATTGTATAAAATTATAAATTTATTTGTGAGATTTGAAATCATTGAATGGTTTTGTAGGTTTTTTTTAAAAAAAAAAAAGAAAAAAAGAAAAAAAGATCTAGAAGTTGTGGTGATTGATCTGAAATAGTAGAGGAAATCCTAATAGTGGAGGATATCACAATAGCGAGGGTATTGTGGTGGTTGTTTTGGTCTCCGGTGATGAAGATTGTTGTTTGGGATATTTGCTAATTTTGGCTTTTTGGCTAAATTAAATAGGCTAAAAAGTCAATAAGATAAAATGTCATATTCAAATCATAATCATTTCACTTTTCCTCTCTCAAAAATCAAAAAAACCAAAAAAAGTCAAAAAATTAAAAAACCAACCCAACCTTCCAAAGGAAGAGCAAATGAGACTTAAGTGGATGATAAGGTGGGTAGAGTGGATGAGATGGCAGAAGAAGTGACAAAGGTCTTGGTATTGGGCAGAGAAGGATTTCGAAGGGGTTTGTGGATATGTTATTGGGCAAAAGTGGTGGCAGAAAGAGTTGCAGTGCGGTCTTAGATGAACAAAGGAGCTAAGGGAAGGCACACACACAAAAAAAAAAAGGCGAGAGAGGTATATGTGAGGGGTGGTGGTGGTTGTAGAGGGTCAAAAATTAAAATCCAAATTAAGTATGGACCTAAGTGCAGAAGTCGCCCCTGTTAGGTGACTAGGAATGATTAAAGGAGCATGGGCCAAAGCCCAAGAAAAGTGGGTCAGCAGTGGGCCAGAGCAGGTCTGACCCGCCAAAGGTCCGAACAAACTCCATAAAGAAAAATGTCTAAGTCAAGTTGTGGAGGCAACACTTGCAGCGGTCAAGTTTCTGAGGCATTTTGTCTCAGTGTTGCCATTTCCAATATTGTCTGTTCCGTCGTCATCTGAAGTTGCTGAGGGTGCAACGTCAATTGAGCAACTAAGTTGCCCAGGCAACACTTGCAGCGGCCAAGTTGCGGAGGTACTTTGTCTTAGTGCCGCTGTGGAGAAGTGGTTTGGAAATACTCTCTAGATCTTGGGGGACGCTCATGATCCTTTGCTAGTCACCTGAAAAGGAATAAACACTCGGTCGGGGGTGCCGGAATTAGCACTCAGACGGGAAAGTCAGTCTCTACACTCAAGATTGCTTGTATTCTAAGTTAAGCATAATAGTTCTCACATACCTCTTTCTGGCTGATGTTCTTCTATTTATATCTTTTCTTTCTTGGACCTCAGGATTGGGCCCATCTTCAATTCGGCATTCGGCCCCTTTCGCAGCAGGCTACTTTTCATTCGGCCCCTTACCCAACCGGCCTTTCGACCGAATAGGGTATGGGGCCGAATATGTGGGGCAAAGCCGAATACTATATTTATATTCCATCTTTCCAAGTTCATCTATTTGGCCTCTTTGCGATCCCCATTATTCGGTCCCCACAATTGCCCCCCAAACACCCCATTAATGACAGTTGGTTGGAGTGTTTGGTTTTTGAACTCGAAAAGTCAAGGCCGAAATTCGGCGGCTGGCCTCATTCCAATGCAGATGCCTGAGCACACGTTTCTCGGTTATCATTTCAACTTCCCGCCCTTTCGTACACTTCTATTTATTATGATTTAAAATTTGGACGTCCTTTCAAATACATACACTTTCAGATACTTGTTGCTGGCTTTCCTTCCAAACTATTTCTGCAACTTCCTTTGTTTCACAATCTTCTTCGTCTCTTGTAAGTTTTCTCCCTCTTTGCTCTAAATCCTTTTTCCTGGTTTGTTTTTAGTTTAGAATATATCTATAAACTGAAGAAAATGGCAAAACATTTGAAAGATCTCCTCTCTTCGGATTGAATTTCTGGCTTCCGACGCCATTTTTCCATTCCTGATGACATTCGTCTGTCTCTTGTGACAGACGGCACCCTCAATATGGAGAGAACTGACGAAACCACGGTCGTCTTCCCTCTCCTGTCAATCGCAGAGGGTGGAGTCCGATTCCCCCTTCACCCACTCCTTAGGGCTGTGCTCTTCCATTTGGGTCTAATTCCTTCCCAACCTAATGTCAATTTCTTTAGAGTAATAATGTGGATTGTAGCGCTAAACCGTCACCTTAGGATCAACCTCGACATTCTTCCTATTCGGCATTGTTATGCCTTGGACAAGTCTTCCGGTCGGCACGGTCGTTATTTCCTTAGGGCCAAGGACACCGATCATCAACTAGTGACTATGCTTTCCAGCTTTGGGAAGCGAGTCGATGACGTTGTGGTCATTGTCCAAGGCAACTAGGAATTCGACGAAGGCGAGGATCGGCTCGATCCTATTCCTAGGCGGAGGGGCGAACCAGGTGGCCGTATAGCCTGTTGTGTTTATTTTTCTTTTTGTTATATTTGTAAAGCTTCACTTTTGAGACCTAATGGTTTTGCTTATGTAGGAAACGATCTGAAGAAAGTTTTGACCTCAACCGACGACGCCGTTCTTTCGGAGATAAAAGTTGCTTTGAAATACTTCAGCCGTCCAAGCCTTCAGAAACAAGGGAGGGCGACCCATATTTTGCTTCAATACGAGCCGACGTACACGACTTTCTCAACAGCAGAAAACATCCCGATTCCAAGGGGCGAGGAGTTTCCAACGGCTCTTATTTTGACCAACTTCAAAAACTTGCACCAAATCGGCTTCGAAGGATCCGACTCAGAGCTCGCAGAAGAAGTCGCTGACGGATCAGGTCAGTTGGAGGCTAAAGTAGACGAGGCTTTAAGGCTAGCGTTTAAAGAAGTCGGCCTCAATCTAGCCAACCCTCCGTCCACCTCAAGTCGAGGGGAAGGTACGACGACGTCTTTAATGGATTAGAGGATCTTCCCGGCACGTTCCCTGAAGATATGGCCAGCTTGTCACTTACAAAGCTCGCCAAAAAGGCCAACGCTGAACGCATGGCCGTGTGGCGGAGAGCGGAGGCCATTCGAGCAGAGGCCAATCGATCCGAAGTGCTGCCCGTCACAGATGTTGAGCCGCCCCTACCTATTACGAAG